TCTCGATGAACTTCTGCAGCCTTCAAAGAAAGAAGGAACAAAGTGAGAAAAGAAAAGCAAACTTAAAGGTAACACCATATAATTTAAGGCTTATCTGATTCAAAGCCTTCTGCACTCCATGAAAAAGGTCTGATGCGTCACTTGTACCGATAGTTCTTCGACACCGATAAACAGGTCACGAAAAGGATCCTATCCATCATGAGGCTTATCTAATTTGAGGGCCCCCAAAGCTTGGGCTTTCCGAATCGTTCCTGCGGAAAAAGTAGGGAAGTTGGGCGAGTCTTTGATTGCTACTGCCCCAAATGAATCACCTGGGGCATTCTCTTCGGTTCGAAAAGATTCGAGAAGAGCCCCTTCAGGCTTATCCCCATCCGTCGGCTTCGATGGGAAGCATCTTCAATTTCCAGCAACTCGGGGACTTTGCCCGAATCTCTCCCCGATATATCCTCAGTTCGAGGCGGAGCCTTATGAACCACCATCAATCCATCCGCCTGTGGAACGTCGGTGGTCTTCTTTTTTCGGGCCGCCAGCATAGACCCATCGTTCTCTTCTTCTTCTTCTTCTTCATCCCTCAGACGCAGAACTGATTCCACGGTCAAAGGAATGATATTTTTGTTCGGCTTACGAGCCGTCTTTTTCTTCGATTTTTTATCATCGAGGACATGGGCTCTTTTCCTCTTATTATCTTTCACTGGCTTTGGGATAGAGGCCGAAGCCTCTTCCTCGACGGATGAGGGCCTCAAAACCGCATCTTTGCCCACACCTGCATACGGAAAATTTTATTGAAGTGTGTGAAAGGTATTCGGATTACCAAAAGATACGAGAAAGGCGCTCACCGTGATTTTTTGCCTCCCATCAGCCCTTTGACAAGTCACGCCATGAGCGCTCGGCGTATCAGGAGGTCGAAACCAAATCGCGTACCCAGTTCTTGAGATTGGACACTGCGTCGGGCATCCAGGGAACTGCTGCACCACAAAAGGGGAATATTGATGGGAAAAGAAATTAAAGAACAAAATAATAGGAGATAACAACAGAATTGTACTTACGCTTCATGTTCTACTCCTCAGGAAAAGGAATCTTCTCGGTCGGAATCAGGTCCGAAGTCCTTACTCAAACGAACCTACCCATCCAGCCTCGATCCTTATCCTCGTCTATACTCGAGAACAGAGCCTTGGTAGCTCGACATTGGAGTTTTATTAACCCTCATCGAAAAAGGCGAGTACGGTATAATCGGATAAGATGATCGAGGGTGAAAGGCATCCCCTCGATTTTACTCATAAAATATCAGATCAAAATAACGATCCGCCAAAAGGAAGGATGTATATGGCCTAGCGTTATTAGGTATTTACGACAAAAGTCTATGATAATAGGGTCGAGGGCACCTAACGTGAAATGGTAAGTATACACGCTTAAGAACCCTTTCATGTGAGTAGTAATGTCCTCTTCGGGAGACGACACTACCACTTCTTTGTTCTCCCAGTTACAATCTTTTTTTATCCGCTTGATGTGCTCCCGGGTTATCGAACAAATATATCTCGATACGGGCTCACATCGGCCAGGAATCGGCGAACCTTTATCGAGTTTGAAATCGGAGGTAAGAACACACGTCGTCGGAATACACTCCTCAGGACGTGGATTCACAGTGTTTTGTCGACGACGGATTGGGAAGAAGAAGCTTTTTCTTTTTGGGGGACAATTTTTGATATCTTCACCATTTTGATTTTAAAGAAGGTGACAATGATTTAGTAATTTAGGAGAAGAATTTTGCAAAGAAGAATCACATATTTTTGAATGAGCTCAGAGAACACGAAAAAGAACTTGGAAAATTTGGAAGACTGAAGATGTAAAAGTGGTAAATGATAAAAGGAAGGGCTATTTATTGGTTAAAGCAATGGCGGTTCAGTATTAGCGGTGGCCGACCACCGTGTGACATGCATTAAATGCCTTGAAAGACTAAATCGACGGGACAACCATCACGTGCGTCATGGTCGAGCCCAATGTAAACGTCAGCTTATAACCCGATCGAGCCATTGAAAAATCATATCGTTTCTCACCACATCCTTCCTGAGAAACGGGGGGACTATCTGTATGCGGTCGAAATAGATTTCGGCCTTCATACGATTGATCGAGGTCAAAACATAATTGATCAAAGTCAAAACATAATGGATCGAAGTAAGGCTCCGTGATGGGTTCCGAAGATGGAACAAACAAGCTTCGAGCCCGAGGGATCGATCAACGTCGAGCTCGATATCATTATCAAGCTCGAATCCAAATCGAACTATGATGCAAAAAAAAGTTATCGAACTTGTGATTCAGAGACCGACCCACATCGATCCCGAATCAATTTAGGGATCCGAGTCAGAATCAAGCTCAAGTCGAGATCGATAGCTCGAGTCAAGATCGAGAGCTCGAGTCAAGATCGAGAGCTCGAGTCAAGACCGAAAACTCGAGTCAATATCGAGCTCATAGACAAGAGCCGTTGCAATCCCACTAGAGGAGAGAATCTTGACAGGAATTATGAAAAAACTGATTTATCATGGGTCTCCCACTATGTATTTTTAATTATATCTAAAATAAGATCACCCTACTATAAAGGGGATGATTATCATTTCCGTAAAGGCCAAGTTTTTTGCTTATATTGTAATTCAAGCACCATATTCCCCTACAGTGAATAATTGTTCTTTCAAACTTCATAAATTGATTCAACTTATTTAGTCCTAACAATCATCTTCCTTGCAACTTTGCCCACTTTGCATTCTTACCAATCCATACTTGATTTTTCTATTAATCTTTACGATTTGTATTAAGTTATACCATATATCCTTAGAATTACGTATAAATTCAAACTCTATTCGTTTTCCGGGTAAACAGTCAAGTTATGTCACATTCAGACGTCTTGTTAAGAGGTACCTGGGCTACTTTGGTAGTCTTATCTTATGAGTAAATGAAGTGTAGGTGTTAGCTTGGGCACTTGCGAGCGAGAGGGAATATACTATAGAGCAGTTTTGGAAACTCCGACAGGAATTATATGATGATAATGATAGGCAGCCATACATTGCACTCTCCTCTATTCAGTACAGTACAATACCACTAATCTTAAATTAGTTCCCTCCTCTCCAAGTCTCCATCACATATATATCACCAAACCAATTGTTTCTTTTTTAACTTATAGTATATATTTCTTTGACACGTGTCTCCTAATTGTCATCTACTGTAACAAACAAACTGCAGCATTGCTGGGGTGCGTTTGTACGACATAACAATCACTGCAGCCAAGTAAGTGGGTGATTCCAGTTCTCAGTCCTGCTTTCTCTCCTTTTCTTCTACATATAATAATATCTTCTTCTTCTTTTTGTTTGGGACGTTAATTAATTAGTACTCCACATCACAGCTCTTTACTATAATTCTAATTATTTTTAGCTTTTCTTTTTAAATTTCCCCCCTTTTTATATCAGTCTTTCAATGTTACATCAAAGTAAAAAAAACATAAAATGTTTTAATCTATTTGGCTTCCCGTCAAAGTGTAGTTTCTGAAGTTGTCATTCAGGAGTAGTACTAGTTGACATAACGTAGGTGTGTATCACCATACCTCTGGAATAGGAGTAGGACTCCATTTTAGGATTGTTTAGTAGTGTAGCCATATTGGGTAGGGTGTCATTTTAGTGATTTATTTGAATTCAAAGTTGAATGTGATTAGACTTCCCTTTAATTTTGTGTGTCAGAATTATATTATACAAGGAATTGATGAATGCATATACACATTAATCTTCTCAATCACTCTTTTCCTTAAAGATATGAAAGTTGTTAACCCACCCACCCCCTAAAAAAAAAAAAAAAAAAAATCACGTACTTCATACCTCGTATCCTTTAAANNCCCCCCCCTAAAAAAAAAAAAAAAAAAATCACGTACTTCATACCTCGTATCCTTTAAACCGAACCAATGTGTACCTAATCCTCTTAAAGAGTGTTACTCCTAGTGAGTCTATAACTTTAACAGAATCAGGACTGCAACTATTTGTAAAGGATAAAAGAAACTAAATGATGAGGAATATACGACGTTGAACAACACTAGTTACGAATGTTAATTAAGTCAAATTTAGCATGATGAAAGTCCTAACTAATTAAAAGCATGGATGGATATAGCTTGTCCTACAGCACCCAATGTCCTTAATTTCATATTTGATATAATTGAACAAATTTTTAACATATTGGTATATCCATACTATGGTGGTAAATTAACTGAAATTCTACATCTGCCGACAAAACATTTTGAATCTACTTTTTATTAAACCACTTAAGTAAAGACTCAGATAAAGAAAGTGTTGTATCTTGTAAATTTTACCTCATGTAATGTCCAAAAAAATTTTATAATGTAAATTAAGAGCTTTCACAAATATTATAGTAGTTAAAAACCAACTAATGAAATTAATTTTCTTTATAACAAATGTGAATTGAGAACCTGTAAAGTGATAAATCTATTACTAATACAACTTAAGGAGTATAAATCAAGTACACTGGTAACATTAAATTTTATGTGTATACTTATAATAAACCAAAAAGATTTGCTATTAGTATGAGTTTATCATTATTAGTGATTACATGCATTGAGGATGCAATTTGATGATGACAAAATTAGTAAAAAGTGTAGTGAAGTGCACCCTTGTGTACAGGTGTACACTAATTGAACAACTGTAGAAAAGTGGGGTAGAGATAAATAGATACAAACAAATTAAACAGAGGTACAGCTCTGCCAAAATCTCTAACCATTTGCAACAATTCCCTGCTCTCAGTACGTACTGCTTCTCCTCCCTCCCCACCTTCCACTTTTTCTGATCTCTACTCTCTCTCTGCATATATATATNTCTCTCTCTCTATATATATATATATATATATATATATATATATATATATATATATATATATAATACTCCACTCTCATCATCTCAATATACACTACTCATCGTTTTCCCTCTTTTCTTATATTTCCAGCTAGAGCAAAAATGGCCGACCCCAGCCTAGTTTACGACTTCTGGAACCAACAGCACTCTAATTCCACTGAAATGGTCTTGCTGTCCGATATCAATGTTGCTTCTCCTCTGAATCAGCAGCAGCAACCCATTCCTATCCCAAAACCCAATAAGCCAAAGGTTCAAACTTCCAGAACGTTCTCCTGCCTTTACTGTTCTCGCAAGTTTTGCACTTCTCAAGCTTTGGGTGGACACCAAAATGCTCACAAGCGTGAAAGAGCCGCTTCTCGTCGTACTATGTTCCCGGTCAACAGCACCGACTCCGACACCCGTAATATGGTACATTTCCATTTTCTTCAAAAAAACAACAACAACAACAACAACAACGACGACAAGCAGGGGCTGGAGCCCAGTTTGAATAATTATCCTCTGATGACCGGCCAGATGCTGCCTGAACATAACATTAATCATACTACTACTACTACTTATAGTAACCCCTACGCTAATTACTTTAGCGGCCAGCTCCAAACACCAGCTTCAAACAATATCAACGTCTTTAACCCCTTCTCTTCCTCTGACGTTTATCATCCTCCTCCACTACCGACTCTTGGATTTGGCGGTCATCATGTCTATTTTACTAGTGGTGATGCTACTCTCTCGACTGCACAGGATTTGTCTTCTATGGATAATAATCACCAGCTCAATCTTGACCTTACCCTTCGTTTGTAAGAGAAATTGCCTTGGTTTTTTATTTGTGGGGTGATATATGCTCTGTGTTTTCCCTTTTTTCTAGAGAAATTCAGTCTTATTGGAGTTTTAGTCTTTACAATAGCGAGCT